GAAAATGTCCCTGGGAGTAATGCGGGTAAGCATCCTAATTCCTAGAGAACAGGGCAAGAACTAAAGACATAATTCATACATAGGAAGGCTGTCCATTTATTTACCAGGAATATAACATTTCACATGTATTTATGTATGAGTGTGTGTGTGTCTGTGTGTGGGTGCATGTGTCAACTGCCAACCTGTATCAGAGGGATTTGGTCTAAGAAAGAAACAGAATCAGGTTGTCTGCTTTAATCAGAGGGTCATTCAAAGAGAAAAAAAAATAAACCAGAAATGGTGTTCACCTAAACCAAAGGTTTGATAAAAAAAAAAAAGACCAGAATTAAATCAAAAGCACATGTTTATTTCTCTCAAAGGGCAAAAGGTATGCATCCATACATGGAAGCAATGAGAATGAGCTCAAGGAAAGGACTATTAAAGACGACATATTCTCAGAGCAATTCTGACCCAAGATGCCTTCATCAGCCAAAAGTATTATCTCCATATGTGTTAACCATAGATGATAAAAGAATTTATTAATAGGATAGAATCATAAAACATGAATGTCATAACAGGATAGTGTCCATAAATGCAAAGATAAAAAAGTTCCATTATTCAAGATAGTGTCCAATTCAAAGTGCCTGGTCACTGGCAGAAGAATGTTCCCAGCCAGCAAAATCCAGCAACAGAATTTGGGTTCACTCAGAGAGCAAAGCAAGGCGTATCTGTTATGACAGAGCATGCAAAGCATTATGGTAGGTTAAGCTCAGAGCTCAAAACTAAGCCAAAATTGGCTCTCTCCTTAGTGGTCAATCCAGGTTTTAGGCCTTTCTCAGGTGAGGGCGATTCACTGTGGTTTTTGGTGGGGGTAGGGCAAGCTGTTTTCATATATATACACACATACACACTAACAAATGTATGTAGACATTTTAGAGGTGTCCATGTATATGAACACACATATGCGTGTGTGTGTGTATTGACACACACATAATCTTAACTACCTACACAATGCAAGATACTCATCTAAGTATGGAGACATATGGTACCACGAAGTCTGGTGCTAGACTGTGAGGATTCACTATCAGCTTCTTGAGTACACCTGTTCGTGGGATATAAATATTCTTCCGTATCATTGATAATTTAGACTATAATGACAGACATAGTATTCAGCTGACCAGGGAATATATAATCCTAGAGGAGTCTATCTTGATCAGATCATATCTGGAAGTATGTTCACCTTAATCTGGTCCATATCTTGGGGAGAATAATCAAGTAAGAGAACTAATGATAATTCCATAATATGAATTGTATAATAGAGATGTTTAGTCTGTAAGAATACTTGGAAAAGGAATGTTCACTCTCTCTAAATATTTGGACAGATGTCATACAGAAACAGTAAAATTCCCACTGACTTCATGTCATAATTAACTGCTGCTAAATAATACTATTAAAAATTCTAGATGTTAAAAACTTGGTTTATAATGTTTAAACATAGGTTCAAGATTTACAAAAATAATCCAGAACGAAGATTAGGATTTGTAACTCAGTTTTTATAGAGAAAAATTTATGTGAGTGAAAAAGAGAAATTGTATTTTAACATGGTCACACAATTAGTGTCTGAGGCCAGATGTGAAGAACTCAGGTCTTCGTGGATTCAGGCCCAGCACTCCATCAACTGTGCCACCTCTCTGAGGTAACTTCTAGCCCTCACTTTCTGTGACGTACTGGGTTCCCCCACCATCATTAATTCTTCTTCAAGGTCCTAAAATCCTGTCAAAGCAATGTCAGAAAGACTAGAAAATTCTTCTAATCTCTTTAAGATTTTTATCTGCCTTTTCAAAAGAAGCACACCACTTTCCTCTTCCCTAGGGGCACTTGTGAAAATTAATATGATAGAAACAATAAGAAAACAATTCTACAATGGCAAATGTAGAAATAATTTGAACAATAAGAAGTGGTTCCTTCTAGCAATTTCTTTCCTCATATAGTACTTCATTACCTGTCTTGCTTATTTCTTGTTACTCCCCAATCCAGAGTTCTCAGTAAGAGAAAAGTCCATTCTATTTCCCACTCCCTAAGTCCCAGATAAGGGGGGGAAAAAAACCTCATATATTTGGGACCTTTTAGGATAAGCCTCATTTAAATTTCAAGCTTTCCCCTTTATCATCAGTTTATGAAGTGTTCCATACTCCAGGGCAGCTAGGTAGCGCAGTAAGTAGATCTCTGGGCCTGGAGTCAGGAAGATCTGAGTTCAAATCTAACTTCAGATGCTTACTAGTTATGTGATGCTGTGCCAATCACTTAACTCTGTTTGCTCAGTTTCCTCATCTGTAAAATGTGCTGGAGAAACGGCAAACCACTCCAGTATCTTTGCCAAGAAAACTCCAAATTGGCTCCCTAAAAGTTGGACAAGACTGAAAAAAAAGTGAATGAATCACTCCATCTCCTTACATTTCTGTACACTATTCCCCTTTCTTCATTTTCTTTCTCTCATCTCCCCTCTCCTCTTTTTCCTTCTCCATCCTCCTGCTCCCTTCCTCTCAACACTAACCTACACATTATCTCACTCTGAATATATTTATTCTTTACTTTCTGCTCACAAAGGTTACCATTTCATCCTCAACTTAAACAAAAACCCCCAAAACCTTATTTGACCTGACCATGACCACTGATTATACTATTTTGTTCTATATCTCCCCTCCCACTGGAGGATACACTTTTTTTATTCAGCCAAAGACAAGGTTTATTAGAACAGCCATCATATTGGGCAGAGTCTTAAGTAGTCTGAACATGAATAAGGTGGCTAGATTTTAAGAATCTAAGCATCATAATTGAGACTGGATGGACTTTACGTACAGAAAGCCTGTGGGAGAGATCTAGGAGTGAATCTGAATGGGAGTGGCCAGTCAACTGGTTTGAACAGAACTCCTGGGACCTGAACAATGGAGTCTACCTAGGATTAAGTGTGAGAAATGGCAGGGGCTATAGAGAGCTAGAGGAAATTGGGTGTAGTCACAATGGAAGGCCAATTGATGGAATTATAGCCTCAAGGGAAAGCCAGAGATTTGGCCATGTGGGAAAGTCCAGGGTTTTTCCTTTCTGGGGCCAGGATGCCAACCCCATCATTTCCCCCTCAAAGAAATGGGAACCAAATTCTTTCGGTAAGGGATGAAGGTCTCAATTTCTGAAACTGCTTCCTGCTGGCAAGGAGCATAGAGCTGTCCCTGCCTCAAGGGAGTCCCAAAAAGGAGGTTGACTGGAACCAGGCACTAGCACCTGATGCCTATCAGATTGTTTAATATGACCGAAAAGAAGAGTGGCTAATGTTGGAGGTGATGTGGAAAAATCAGGAAACTAAAGCCCTGTTGGTAGAATTGTGAACTGATCCAATTCTGCTGGAGAGAAATTTTGAACTATGCTCAAAGGGTTATAAAATCTTGTATACATTTTTTCACCCAGCAATACCACTACTAGGTCTGTATACCAAAGAGCTTTCAAAAAGGACAACCATCTATATGTACAAAAATATTTATAGCAGCTCTTTAAGTGGTGGCAAAAAATCAGAAATTGAGGGGATGCTTATTAATCAGGAAATGGCTGAACAAGTTGTGGTATATGAATGTAATGGAATGCTATTGTGCTATAAGATATGATGAGCAGGATGCTTTCAGAAATAAAAAACTGGAAGGATTTATATGAACCGATGCAAAGTGAAGTGAACAGAACCAGGAGAATAATGTTCCTAGTAATTGCAGTATTATACAACAATTAACTGTGAATTACTTAGCTATTCTCAGCTATACAATGAGCCAAGACAATTCCAAAGGTCTTATGATGAAAAATGCTATCCTCCCCCAGAGGGAAAAAACATATGGATTCTGAATGCAGATCAAAGCATACTTTTTAAACTTCTTTATTTTGGGGATTTATTTTGTCATTATTTTCCTTCAGAGCATGACTAATATGGAAATACGCTTTGCGTGATTGCGCTTGTATAACCTATATCAAATTGCTTGACTTCTTGATGAGGGTGTAGCAGAGGGAAGGAGAGCACTTAAAACTCAAATGTCTAAAAATGTTAAAAAATTACATGCACTTAAAATATTTTTAAAATATGGTCTGGGACTATTAATATGGTTGCTTGCTTGAGGTTATACTTCTTCATTCACCAATCAGGACAATTCAGTGTGAGGTTGCAAACCCAAAATGTGGTGGATTATCTCTCCCACTTCTGGCCTAAAATTGTGGATTATAATCTTTAAAGTCCTACTGCAAAAATGCTACTCCACGTGAATAATAGGAATTGTATAAAAGAAGATGGCAAGATGCCAGAATGGATGACTAAATGGGATGCTAAAGTGCTATTGATAAGTCTGAAAACAATCCAACAATCATATTTTCGTCCATGTTTATATACCTCTAGTTTAAAGTGATCATCCTTACCATACTTTAAACTATAGTCTAGTCATGAAAACTCCATAGCATAAAGACATAAAATAAGATAGTAAAAATATCAATATATACAAAGTTAGGGTTAGGCAGAGACCTTAGGACACATTATGGCCACTGCTGGGGCAGCAGATATCAAAGGTTGCTTTCAAAAAGTACTGGGCTTCGTAAGGAAGGAATTCATCAAATCAGTCACTGTGAGGATAAACAGAGGGAAGAGATCCCACTGACACAGTGCATTGTATGCATTTGCATATGACGGTCTTAGACCTTAAGAATCAGTGTTTGCTCCATTATTTCATTTTGCTTCCTGAAAATTTCTGGGTGCAAATATTTCCATGTTTTTTCTTATATTGTGATTACTATCTCCAAGACACGATTAAATAAGCTCATTTTAATTATGTGCTGTGCTAAGCTAAGCTGTTTTCAACCAGATGAGAGAATTAGAAATATAATTAGTCCTTCATAGATTTCACTTCCTTTGGCCAAGGATTTATCACTCCAGTCTATTTAAGGACTGCTCTAACATCAGGTTTGTAAACATGATTTTTTTTTTCTCCCATACCATACTATTTATTATGTAAATTCACTTTTTGATTCCAGAGATTCCTCATAGCATTTTTTATCTCTGTGTTCCTGAGGGTGTATATTAAAGGATTTAACAATGGGGATACCATAGTATAGAATACAGCTACTGCCTTATCTATAGGCAGAGTGACCACAGGTCTCAGGTACACAAATATACAGGGCAAAAAAGATAAGACAACTACAGTAATGTGGGAAATACATGTAGAGAGGGCTTTGCGTCTCCCCTCCAGACTGTGATTCTTCAAGGAATGCAGAATAACAACATAGGATAGCAATAACAAAAGAAAGTTTAACAGACAAATGAAACCACTGTTTGCTGCCACAAATAGACCGAGGGTATGGGTGTCCATGCAGACAAGATTGAGCAAAGGATACAAGTCACACATGAAGTGATCTATGATGTTAGGTCCACAGAAAGGGAGCCAGATTGTGAAAAGAATCTGGATTGTTGCATGGAGAAAGCCACCAGTCCAAGCTACAATCACAAAGATGATGCACAACTTTCTGTTCATAATAGCCATGTAGTGGAGGGGTTTACAGATGGCTACATATCTATCATAGGCCATTATCATGAGCAGGATGATTTCAGTTCCCCCAAAGATATGTTCTGCATAGACCTGGGTCATACACCCATTAAAGGAGATGACTTTCTTCTCGTGGAGAGAATCCATGATCAGTTTAGGAGCTGAAGAAGATGAATAAATTGTATCTATGAAAGACAAGTGTGCCAGGAAAAAATACATGGGGGAATCTAAAGCGTGACTGGTGGTAACGGTAACCACAATGATCAGGTTGGCTGCCAGAGTTACCATGTATAAGGCAAGAAACGCTATAAATACTACTTTTTGCACCTTTGGATTCTGTGTAAGTCCTAATAGGATGAATTCAGTCACATTTCTTCCATTATCCATCTATGTAGTTTAGATAGTGAACAGAGAAATGAGAGTTGTCTTATCTGAAACGAAAAGCCAAGAGTTATAGGATGTCACATGGGCTTGTCCCTTGATCTTGAACAAATTAAGAATCAAACTGTTATAACAGTAAAATGTTCTAATGGTAAATCTCTCCTGTGATGGAAGTTTGCTGATCTTTAAGCTATTGATTCCCATCTTTAATCCCTGATAATTCATTTCCCTACACAATAGAGCCATTGGAAACAGCTTCTTCAAGATGAATGTCAAGGATATTTTTAAAGAGAGGGCAATTCTGTTAAAAATGTCTTCAGGTCAATAGCATATAACTAGGGATTAGAAATCTTTCAAAATCCGGATATTGTTTGATCCATCTTTTTTTTTTATCCCTTTGGCATTTTAGGAAGAATAAATAGAATACAGTAGGAATATATGTCCTGACTCTTATTGTGGTAGGTCAGGGAAATAGAGGTTCTTGGGGGGAAATTATATGGTAGTACAATAATTCTTTACAGTAGGTTTTCTCTGACAAGCAGATTCTGAGACAAATACAGGTGATATAATGTTTCATAAAATAAATAGCTAGAAAATACCTTAAAGAAAATCTAAAATACACTGTGACATTTAGGGAAAAAATAATTAACTTTGCCTTATAAGTTAATGTAGAAATACATTAACTCATACTCATTTTTAATCATCTCTAAAATAGGTACTATAGAATTTCAACAACATACCTCATGAAAATTTTAGAGAAAAAATGTTTATACAATAGGCACATATACACATGTGTGTATATGGATATGTAGAATGCATATGTAAAATAAATAGGGAAATTTGATTTATCTTGCCAAACACCTTCATATCATAAATGAGAAAACTAAGACTCAGAGAACATTAATTATCTCACTCATGGGCAGTCACTTGCTCACTGAGATCAAAATTCATATCTACTAACTCTGTTGTAGTCCTTCTCCCAAAATACCAAACGACTTTTCTTGATCTTAAAGCACAGGCTTTCTATTAGTAAGGTGATAGTTTCGCACTCAGTATCTTTATTTCTCCATTACTGGAGAATCAGTTTTGATGCTAATAATCAGTTATAGAATGTAGTCATATGGCCATAGATGTAAAGCTGAAATGGATCTCAGAAGTCATATAGTGCTACTCCCTCTCTCTCACCAAATCCACCAACTTATTTTTATAGATAAAGATGATAAGGCCCAAAATTTTAAACAATTTGCCCAAGATCAGACATACATGTTGGCAGACTCAACATTCAAAACAGTTTACCTGGCTCCAAATTGAACACACTTGCCACTGTGCCATAATTGTTCCAATTAATCCTCTCCAATGCATCATGATGGGGAATAAGGCTTGTTTAAAACACCAAGGAAGATTAATGCACAGTGAAGTGGTTACCCTGATAATGGGAATGTTTCCATTCAGCCTGGCTCAAGGGAGGCAAATCACTTAGGAGTTACTTCCAACTCCAGACTGCTGAGTCTACCTGGTTGCTCAGAAGCCCATAATTAACATTTTCTCTAGCTATTTTCTATGAGTTCCAAGAGTCTTAAGACAGTTGATAGCTTATTTCTGCCTTAAGACTTCTGGGGCATCGTATATATGTAGAGGGACATGGATATTTCTTTGAAATAGACTGGACTACCAAAACTGTCATCTAGAAAGAAAGACCTTACCATTTTAATATTAGAAATGAATGCTAAAAAAGGAGGAGGCATTTATTTTAATTTTAGTTTTCACTGAGAAACACTTTAAAGGTGACAGAAATATTTTGTATTCATTATTCAATTTATACTTCATGACAACATTGTTAGGTAGCTACTGAGCATTATTATCCCCATTTACAGATGAGAAGACTTAGGTGGACAGAAATTAAGTGACAGAGACCCACAGCTAATAAATGTCAGAAGTCAGATTCGAATCTAGCTTTTCCTGGTTTTAATTTGAGCACATTATATTCTATAATACCAAATAGCCTCCTCTAATCAAAAGTGGGTTTATGGGGCAGGTAGGTAGCACAGTGGATAGGACACCGGCCCTGGATTCAGGAGGACCTGAGTTCAAATCTGGCCTCGGACACATAACACTTACTGGCTGTGTGACCCTGGGCAAGTCACTTAACCCCACTGGCAAAAGAAAGAAAGAGAGAAAGAGAGAAAGAGAGAAAGAAAGAAAGAAAAAGATTGGGTTTAGGAGTTCTTAAAATATCTATCACAGTGAAAAACTTACATTTCTTGTCAATCTGCTAATGATTCCTTCCAGCTATATTTAAGAGGGTGGAGAAAATATTTCATTCCACGCTTTTAAAATGTGTCATATTATATTTACGTTTTCTTGGGTTTCTTTACAATGATGTCTCCTTATTATGAACACCTTCTAATATGAAACATACAGCATACTTTGGAGAGAATATAGGAATAGTTTCATTATGGTTTTTCCTTCAGTAGATTTTCAACTTACAGTCAAGAAACTGGGAAACCACGATGTTGTTCTCAAAATAAATCCTCTCTTTAGCTTAAAATCAGAAGAAAAAAAGAAATTGGAACACTGTGTTGGGATTACTGCTAATTATACCTCAAGATGTGGTGCTGTCTTCTTTTCTCTGCACATTCTCTTTGGTGACCTCATCATCTCCCATGGGTTCAAGTAATGTCTCCATAAGATGACTCCCAGAGCTATATATCCAGTCCTAATACCTCTCCTGAGCTTCATTTCCAGACTACTGGCTTCCCTTTAGACATCTTGAACTAGATGAACCATGGGCATCTGAAACTGAATGTGTTCAAAATAGATGAATTAATTCTCCTCCACAACATTCTTCTCTTCCAAAGTTTCTAGCTCTAATTAAGCATACCATCCTCCATTCCATCACCTACATACACAACCTCAGAGTTCTTCTCACATCCACATTCTCCTTCCCCTCCCATATCCAATTTTTTCCCAAATCTTTATTCTACATCCTCAACATTGCTCCCTTCCTGTGGCCATATTTCTACTTTCATAGCCAATAACATAACTGACTTTCATCCCTTCCCTTCTGGACTATGTAAATACCTTAACAAATTCTCCTTTTACCTCATAACTCTTCTCCATCCAATTAATTCTAAACACAGGTAACAATGTGATATACCTAAAACCAAGATTAATTTTGTCATTCCTCTGCTCAGTGAACTACAGTAATTCCCTATTACTGCTAGAGTTACTTAAAAAGTTTTTTTTCTTTGCTATTTAAATCCCTACACAGTATGGAGACATATTATACAATAATAGTGTCAAATTCAAATAAAAATAAATCCTTACATGCCACATATTAACTCAGAAAACTACAAATTAATATCATCCACATGGTATTTTTATTATTTGTTTTGTTAAATATGTCCCAATTACATTTTAATCCAATTCTGATGGCAGCCTATGGGCCTTGAGTTTGGCAGCTCTATCAAACAATAATGTTCCCCAGGATTCTTTTCCAGCCAAATTGGTTTGTTCTCTTTGTTATCATCAACTATGACAGGTCTTCAGCATTCATTGTCTTTACACGAGGTGACACTTAAGTCTTGAGCTACACTTCATCCTGAACAGAGAGCATATGTTGGGATATGAGTGGAGGAAGTGCAACGGAATGACATGTCTCTCCTTCAGCAGATCAGGCAGGAGATCAGTGGAAGGAATGTGGTAAAATGACATGCTCTTACTTCCCCAGGAGCTGGTTTTGTTCCATATCATTGCTCCAAAAAGATATTAATGATTTCACAGGACTCCTGGGGATACCTGAGGCAATTCTACACTACCCAGCTTCTTCTTGCCTATTTCCTTGCATAATAATTTGGCTTTGTATCTTTCACCTCCAACAGTCTAGGATCAATACCTCTTGGCTTCTGACTTCAATTAGCAGTAATCTCAACGGATTTAATGAAAGTAACTCTTGGCTTCTAGTTGTCTCTGTGCAATACTGGACCAGAAAGACATATGTACTGGCATTTTTTATTGGATTTATTGATCTCTGTTTCATCTCATATTTTTTTTTAAATTCTTTGCTAGCAGGTTTCATAGAAGGAGTAAACTCACCTATAACCATTCTTGTTTCCATATTTACCCAAAGTTTTAAAAATATTTCATTTTATAACTTTGTTCAAGACAAAGTGGTTCTAGACAATCTTTACTGGAAAAAAAGACAATGAAAAGAAGGCCAGTTCTATAAGGAGAACTGAATGGTCATTTAAATTGTAGCATAGATGAAGAGGTAGGGGATATCAATAGTCTCCACCTTTGTGAATAAAGGACTTAGGGAAAATATTATGGGAGTTGGTGATAAAGCAAAGACATAGATGTCCCTAACTACATAGCCATAATAACTCTTCTTTTCATTCCTCATGAAATAAAATTCTCTTGATAGATATTAAAATGAAATCTCTAATAGCATTCTAAATTGTCAAGTAACTAATAAGAAATCTTATTCAAAGAGCACTAGAATCTGACGTCCTGATTGGGAACTGCATTTAAAGTGAGACTTTCATTTTGTAAGATCTAGGCCAAAGGCAAGTTGACAGCACAGATTAAGGGAGAGGGTCCAAGTAATTTGCATTTTTATTCATGTTTTCCCAAATAGCACGTAAGGTCATAGTGGGAGGGACAATGATAACTTGTCATTAAACACTTGTTTAGTAGTGTCTCATGCATTCTCTTGATATTGAGACATGAAAGTAAAGATTCATCAGTACAGAAAGAAATGACACCTTTGCCTTATTTACATATGTTCCCCAGATTTTATTTTCCATTGAAATTTTTATTATTGAAAGTCTTTCTCTACTCTGCTCTCCCACTGATAAAGAAAGAAAATAAATGTGTTGCAGACACAAATAGTCAAACAAATCAAATTGCTCCATTGTTCATGTCAAAAAACCCATAATTTCAACCATCATATAAGTCTACAATCTCTTTGTTAGAGATGAATAGTATATTTCATCATGAATACTCTG